TCAGCAGTACCACGTACAGATCATGTATTACAAATTAAATATTCTTAACAATTAAATAACATAGCAGATTAAATCAGGAAGCTTTGTAATGAAATGTGCACTCGAAATATTGATCTCAGAATTGACAACTTTCTTCTTTGAGTGACTTCCTTTTATAGCAATGGATATACATTACATTGATCCTTGAAATCAGCATCTCATAATCTTCATCAATCCCAGGCCACATATTTTTTATTTGAATGTTGCATTCCCTGACTTCTCATTCTCAACCAAATTATTTGTGGCCATGCAAATAAAATAATCAAATCTTCCACTAAATATTCCAAAGTCACATATTCATTTCCCCATGCAATGAAGAAGTAACCACACACTTAAGCTCTTAATTAATGCTCAAATAATCCATAATTAGCATATCTCTAATTAAACCATAACCACATGTTTAAATATTCAAAGCTGATTAATTTCACTGTCCATAATCAATATTCTTCTTCGTAATTTCGAAAGTCTCCAACTTGAAACCATAGTGTAGAAATATTAAATCATATCTTCTGATAGGAGACGGTCCATGGTCCATATGTTAGTTTCAAATAAATGCACTAATTATTTTATCAATTAAATTAACCAATATGAACAGATTTAATGTATATCATTTGTACACTTACCGATGTAAATCACAACCACTATGACTCAACGTCCATTACTTAAGTTCACATATTTCTTAAATTTAAACACTATTAACTTTTTACTTTGCTTAATTTATCCTTTGTTCCTTTCAACTTGTGGTTCTATCTCAGCATTTTTTAAAAGGTAAATTTGAAATGAATATGAGTGACTTATTTCCTCATTTTTTTAAAATATTATTTCATTTGGTCATTTATATATACAGAGCACCATTTCAACTAATTTTTCTCTGCAAAAATAAAAAATAAAAATTACTATTACCAATTTTTTAAAAAAAATTCACAACATTAAAGGAAAATAAGTTTTACTTAAAAAATTATAAGCATGTCAGTTTTGTGTTTCTTTATAGATTTGGTATGTCATATCGACTTTTTGAGTTAGTTAATCTTCTGAGCTTTTCTTCTTCTATGTTCGCAAAATGATTTATTCAAACTATTATTAATTATATATTTTGTAAGGTCTTTTTTTTTTTTTTTTGGTGCATGTATAAAATTTCATCCCATAATCAACTTCTGATAAATTTAATTAATTGTTGGGAATATAATTTGAACTCTAAATGTCATGCTTAAGCTATTCAATCCCTTCCACTTGCATTTTGAACCAATAACTTTTAGTATAGAGATGATATTTCATTGCAGCACAACTAAATTATGGTTGGATTCATTGTTGATTATTGATTGAAATGCAGGATTAATTGATTGTGAGATCATAAGGGATGATTATTGTAGCCAGAAATTGTTCAATTCAGATCAGAATAGATGCTTTGGAGGCCTCTCATGTCTCTATTTTTATGCCATATTTGTTAAGTTTACCTTATATTTGATTTTCATTGTTTTCTAACCATTAAGATTTTCAGATGCATTGAGTTTCAATAATTCAAAACACAATATATTTTAAGAATATTTAGATCGATATATAATTATATAAATTATTACATCGAATATTATATAATTCAATTGATGAATTGAGTTGGATCAATTGTATTTTCTAATGTTATCATTGCTTGAATTCGATCAAATAATTGTCCAATTAATAGTCAATGTGTAGATGTACGCATCCAATGCTAAAACTTTAGATATTTTAAATATCAGTGTTGAGTGAATTATATCTGTTGATGATAATGAACCAAATCGATTTAATATCCCAAAATAATATTTATATATACACACACGAAAGTATATAAAATATTATTGGATATATATATTCAATATATATATATATATATATATATATATATATATATATATATATATATATATATATATATATATATATATATATATATATATATATATATATATAAAACGGACCCAAAGGTTATTTATACATATATATCTACAAAAAAAATATACCAATATATATCGACCAAAATTGGAACTTATAATCCTCTTGATTATAATTCCAGTCCAACGATTATCTCAAAAGAGAGAGGATTTTTCTTAGAAGCATAATCCAAAACCGAAAGAAGGAAAAGATGGCTCGTACGTGTATGGATATATGGTTTTTAGCGCGAGTCAAGAGACCACTCTTTTCTTAAAACCTTATTTGCCACCTCCCAAAAGTGCTAGGAGCGTTGTGGCCTAGGTTTCCCAGAATAAAACGTGCTACGGTTCGACGTTTGAGCACCCAAACGAACGAACCTGGCGAACTAGAGCAAAACCTTGAACACGGTTAGGCTTAAGAAAGGAGTAGAAGCAGAAGTATTTTGAAGCTGAAAAGTGTATTTTCGTGTTGTGTGCTTGTTCACTGCGTCTGTAAAAGTCTGCTATCTAACTCCCTTCTTATATAGGGATGATAGAAATGATAGCATTTATTTCGGCATTTACTACACGTTGTGTAATATCTGAAACAACAACACCCATTACTAGAGAGTTAAATTCAAAGTTAAAATTGGAATTAATTAACTTAATTAATTCCATAATGGTGAATTTAAACTCACACTAATCTGTTCCTCCTTGCCCAGTTGGGTCCTTTCGGCCTTGGCCGAGACCTGCGCCCGTAGGTGCCAACGCACACGAGCTTGATTTTGATTGTGGATACTAAACGATTTTAATCAATTTTTCATTTGTAAATATATATATTTACCTAACTATATTTCTAGTAACATATATATACATTTTTTTAATATTTCCAGTAACTTTACATTTTATAAAATATATAACCGAGATTAATATTTTTGTCATCTCGGCTAAACTTTTTGTTTGTTTTTTTTTTTTTCTTTTGACATACTCGGCTGAATCTTATAATTACACAATCCTTATATTCTTAGTATAAAATAACATTTGGTGTAAAAATTATTAATTTCCATATCGATTAATATTCTTTCCATCTCGAAAAAACCTTATATTTTCATCTCGTATTGCAAAACATTTTCCATCTTTAATTACAAAATTTTCCTTATAAATTGTGGATACTTAATGATTATATTCCATTTTCCATTTTTAAATATATATTTTTGCATAACTATATTTCAGTAACATATATATACAAATTTTTTTTTATATATTAGTCACTATATATTTTATAAAATATATAAATGAGATTAATATTCTTTCTATATACTGAGTCAGTTTGGAATCATTTTTCATTTCAGTTAATTATTAATAGTCATTTTCTATTTCAATTGGTCGAAATTTCATGTCATTTTTATTCTTAGTCAATTATTCTTTTTTTATTACATATTAATTAATTATTTGATTATTAATAATCGTTTTCTTTTATTTTCATTAACTTTACATTTTATAAAATATAAAATATATAACTGAGATTAATATTTCTTTCCACCGCGGTTAAACATTGAGATGCAAACTTCATTTTACACTTTTTATTAATACATTTTATACCAGTAATTTTTATATTTTTATTAACTTATTAATATTCAAGTATTAATATTCATTTCATTTTCCAATTGGCCTAGTTTCCATAAAAAAAAAATTATATTTCCAGTAATTTATTAATATTCAAGTATTAATATTCATTTCATTTTTATTTTTTAATCAAGTATTAATATTAATTTCATTTTGTGCGTTTGAGTCAGTTTTGAAACATTTTTAATTTTCAGTCAATTATTAATAATCATTTCATATTTCAATAGGCCTAAATTCTGTGCCGTTTTTATTCTCAGTTAATAATTATTTTTGTAATATTCTTTTAAATACTATAATTTCACCTATGAATATGGTGTGGATAAACGAATAAAACAAATGAACATTCAAAGGAATGTAAACCCATTAAATCTTTCAGTTTAAACAAAAGACAGAAATTTAAAATTTTAAATATAAAATCTATATGCTTATTCGTGCAGTTTACTGAATATGTTTATTACCAATTAACTATCATTACCAATTAAACTATATTACACTATAAATACTTTTCTAACTGTAGTACAATTGTACATGAAACATGCATCATTAGTTCTTCAAATTATAATATAGAAATTGCAATAATTTAGAAAAGAGTTACAGTATAAATATTTCCTATCCGTAATACAATTTTACTTATTATTTTACAGAATCTCCAAATAATAATATTGATTGAAATTACACTATAGTTATTTTCCTAACCTTAATACAATTGTACATGAAACATGCACCAATATTTCTACAAATAATAATATTGAAATTGCAATAATTTAGATTAGTATTACAGTATAAATACTTTCTTATCCGTAATACAATTCTAACTAATTATTTTACTGAATCTCCAAATACTCCGTAATAATATTGATTGAAATTACACTATAAATACTTTCCTAACCTTAATACAATTGTAAATGAAACATGCATCCTTATTTCTACAAATAATAATCTTGAAATTGCACTATAAATACTCTCTTAATCGTGAACAATTCTATCATCGATCATTTTCTATTCTTCTCTGGTATTTCTGCTATTTCTCCTTATGATTGACTAATGGAGTCTGTTTTCGTCTCTGGCTCCTTATTGGTAACAAAATATTATATGAAAATTAACTAATATCTATTAATTAGTAATATTCATTGGAAATTCTGTGTAATAACGTAATTTTATAAGGAAATAATGATTTATTAATTATTATGTAATTTTATAAGGGACTAATGATTTATTAATTATTATTTACACTAATAATAATAATAATTCAAATACTAATTTTACACTAACTTATACTATTAATAAAAGTCAAATCATCCCCTTCATTTTTCTCGTCGTACCTAATATGAATATTAATTAATCATCAACAGTTGTCTCTGGTGGAGTTGAAGAAGTTGCTATCTTTGTGGGCGAAGAGCCTGAGGGACTTTTCAGAAATGTCAATTCCAGACGAAAGCAACATGGGTTATGATGGAAAACATGCTGATAGCCGAAGAGTTGACATATGACAAGGAACGGTGGATGACAGAGCATGAAATGTTGGTAACACAATTGACGAACGAGCATAAGAATGTCTACGAATTTGTGATGAATGATATTGATTCTAATGGATGTGAATTGTACTTTGTGTATGGTTACAGAGGAATAGGCAAGACGTTTGTGTGGAGAACGTTATCATCAAAGATAAGGAGCCGCGGTGACATTGTTCTCAACGTTGCTTCGAGTGGAATATCTTTGCTCTTGCCGGGAGGCAAGGTGACGCATTCCAGATTTGCTATACCACTCTCTTTGAATGAAGATTCCACGTGCAATACATCGCAAGGCAATAACCTTGCTGAGCTTATAATAAGGAGCAAATTGATAATATGGGACGAAGCACCAAAAACCATGAGGGATCTATCGAGGTTCGCCATACCGGGTAGTGCTGAAAAGATATTTTGTGGAAAGACAGTAGTTTTGGGCGGCGATTTTAGAAGGATTCTTCCCGTTATTCTGAAAGAAATGAGACCAATAGTTGTCGGAGCCACAATTAATTCTTCTTACCTCGGACAAATTGTAAGGTATTGAGGCTCACAAATAACTTGAGACTACAGAGCTTAGCTTTAGAGGAAAATAGACAGACGGTTGATTGGTTTCAAAATGGATTGTTGATCACGTTGTAACGACGGTTTGTCTGAGATTGATATTCTGACACGGTTTCTGTTGAAGTGTAGACCCGATCCAATAGCAACTATAGTGGAAAACACCTTCCCAAGCGCAAGATATGGCATGCTTGATGAGTCGCACCTAGAAGGCCAAGTAATCCTCTCACCGACTTTAGATGTCGTTTATCAAATTAATCACTACATGTGTGACATGAACACTGCAAAAGATCGAACATATTTAAGTTGTGACTCTTTGTGTGAGGATATGGGTGTTCACAGGGCCGTTCTAATAAAAATTGGGATCCTGTGCAATATTTTAAATTGGGCCCCCTTTTTTTTTAGTAATTTGTATATAAAAACAATAGTTATTCAAAAAGTTGTGTCAAAAATTCAAAATATAAATATTCTATAAAAAATACATCTAAAATTTCATTTTAAAAAGTGACATGCGCTGTGCACATTTAGTCATATAATATACACTCAATTTCATGCTCTTTAAGTCTAACACCAAGATGTGTCTAGTCCCTAAAAGACCAAATCACATTTTCCTATACCTTTTATAAAAGTCTTGCAACAAAAACAATACACCTTGTCAAGTTCTTTTGAATAATGAATATACAAGCCAATCTCGATCACACTTCTCTCCATTTGGCAAATATCTTGCGTAAAACACTGACGAAAATCTTATTGAGAATTTATCTTTAGGACCTTTATTTATTGATAAATCTATTTTAGGACCATCTTTCACACAAATATCTATTAATTTAGAATCAAGGGCATCCCAATTTCTTTGATCATATATATTAAATAAAAGTGAATCATTTGGTTATCATTAGCTACGGCCGACGGTACTCAGGAATAAGATTTGCTAATTTTGCTACAATACTACATAATGACAAATGAGCTTTGCTAATTTTGCTACAGTACTACACAATGACCAATGCATGAGATTTGCTTAATGCGGCTTATATACATATATAATTTTTTTTTTTTAAATATGAGGCCCCCAAAAAATTGGGGGCCCTGTGCGCCAGCCCTGGGAAAACATGCCCAGGGACGGCCCTGGGTGTTTATTCGGTTAACCGAACCATTTTAACCGAACCGTTTTAACTGAAAATTTTAAAACTTTAACCATTAATATAACCGAACTTTGTATTGCCGAATTAACCGAACCGAAGTTTTTTTCGGTTAATCGGTCAGTTAACCGATTAACCGAACTTTTTAAAACTAAAGTTTTAAATCCTAAAAATAATACCTATAATAATAAATCCAATTAAAATAATACATATAATAATAAATCAATATATATATATATATATATATATATATATATATATATATATATATATATATATATATATATATATTTAAAATTTCGGTTAACCGTTCGGTTAATTTTGTTAACCGAAGTTTCAAACCAAATTAATCGTTAACCGAAATTTTAAAAAACCTTTAACCATTAACCGAACCGAAAAATGTTCGGTTATAAAACGGTTAACCTAACTTTGTCGGTGCGGTCGGTTAACCAAAAATTTACCGAAGTTTGCAACCCCTATGTAAGGAAGAATAAGACGATGAAAATTTATCTGAAGTACACAGTCCTGAATTCTTAAATAGTTTGGGATTGCCTAGACTTCCTAATCATTCATCAACATTAAAGGTTGGTGCACTTGTTATGTTATTGCGGAACATAGACCACTCTCTTGGTCTTTGCAACGGTATGCGCCTCATCATCACAAGATTGACAGATCACATTGTCGAAACAAGAATAGTTAATGAGACACATCAAAGAACCAGAGTTCTTATACCCCGAATGTCTCCCACCCTTCTGATACAAGATTGCCCTTCAGGTGTACATGGCTTTTTCCCGAGTCACCCATCCTTGATGGCCTGAAGGTTTTAGATCTAGACAAGGATGAACAAAATTCTGTTACTGCTACCAATGTCGTCTATAAAGAGATTTTTAATAATGTGTAACTCAAACTAGTGATATTATGTTTTTTTTAATAGAAAGATGAAAAAATTTCTATATATCTACATAGAAAATATATATCTTCCATACAAAATAATATCTACAACTAAGTTGCTAGACAACGAGCTACTTAGCCCAATTAATACAAATATAATCTTAAACATTGATATATAAACTCTAAAGTTTCAGTACTGGATGCGTATATATACACGTTAGCTATTAATTGAATAATTATTTGCTCGAATTCAAGCAATGATAACATCAGAAAACATAATCGATCCAACTCAATTCTTCAATTGCACTATATAATATCCGATGTTATAATTTATACAATTATATATCGATCCAAATATTCTTAAAATATTATATTATAACAAATCTATTTCGTGTAACGCACGGGTGAAAATACTAGTTGAATAAATGATTGTACTAATGAATTGATGTTTTGGTATTTATGGTGTTTGAATAAATTGTTTTTATTATATTATACTTAAAATCAAAACAGATTAAAAACAATGGTTTAAAATCGTTGTCTATACTGACTTTCAACAATACCAGTTTCAACAACACTCAATAGACAACGGTTTTTAAATGTTGTCTATGTGCGTGAATTTTAACAATACTCAATAGAAATCAGTTTTTAACCGTTGTCTTTGTGGGTGACTTACAACAATACTGGTTTTAACAACAAAAATTTTAACTCAAAAACAACAATTTTTAACCATTGTTTATGTGCATTTTCTCTTGTAGTGTAAGCTAGGAGTGGTATAATGGATCAAGTAATGATGTCCAATGGTAGACATGAGCCTCTTTTATAGTGTCTAGACTCCCCTCCTTTGCTGCCATGTGTATGGTCTTGGTTGCTCTCTCTTCTTGGCTATATCTGTGTCTCATCTTAACCCCACTACTTGCCACATTGCCCCTTTCTTCTTGCAATAAGTATGTCCTACAGCTTCTTCTTACACAAGAAATGCAGTAGCTTAGTTGTGCAATTGTTTGTGTAGATATAAGTTGTATGTAGGTTGGGAATTCGACTCCTTGCAACTCCACCTCTTTTCCTTTTCGCTCCACCTTTACACGCCCTCTAGTAGGCTTACCTACTATTCTCCTTCTGAACCCAACATCTTTTTGCTAGCTACCTTCCTCCATGGCTCCATTCGAATCTAAGGGCATCCTCAATAATGGTAGGATTTTGAAGAGATTTTACAGGTGTGATTAGGAAAGAGAAATGGATAAAAAGAAAAAATAAAAAATAAAATCAAAAACTGAAAAAAACCCTCCAAACCCCCCCCCCCGCCCCCCCCCCCCAAATCCCCTAAAATTCCCAAAATCCTGACAAAATTCTCTAATTAACATAACAACCACATCCCTCTCTCTTCTCGATCTCCTCTCTTCTCTAACACATCATTTTTTTTTCTTAAAATCTATGCAAAATTCCGCTATTGGCAAACATTTCTTACCTTTAGTCAAAGTCATTAATTAATATAATTCGTATTGGCAAACAATTGATTGCTAAACAACGCCAATGTCACAAAAATATTCTACCACTTTTATTCAACACAAAGTTACTGAATAATGAAAAATGAACAGTAAATATTACAACAAAGCAAAGTAAGATTATCTTAACAATAATCCGACAACACAATTACACAAACTGATAAGCTAAGGCAAAATAGTGCTTTGCCTACTTAAAAGAACCTCCTAATAACGTTAAGAAACAAACAATAACAATTGTACAACACAGAAGCAGACACCAATAACAACAAAATCATGAAAATGAGCCACGGCTAGGTGTGGGGAGAAATAATATAATGTTGGCTTAATTATTGGCACTTGAAGCCAGTAGGGACAGTCTTTTGGCAGGCACTAACAAGAGCACTGAGAGCCACCGGCACTTCCAGGTTGATCCCAAGCACGTTGGCCTTCAGGGCAGTGCAAAGGCAAGCGGCGACTTCCAAATCCGCCAGCCCTGCAAGAAGAGTGCAGCATGGGCTGGTTGGGGCGTGCCCAAGCTCAATGCTCACCAGCCCTCCCAGCAGATTAGCGCACACGCCCAGCTTCAGTGTGTCCCGAGGGCAGTATGGGTTCACCGGCGGTGCCTTCGGCGGCAGCTTGGGCGTGCATGTGCCGCACGCTGTCGTGAGAGTGGCTAGGAGGAGAAGGGAGAGGGTGAAAATGGTCTTGGTGGCCATGGCAGCTGGGAGGATTTTCTCTTCTCTGCTCTGCTCTCTCAAGATCTAAGGGTATATATGGTAGTGTTTGCTTAGGGTAGGGTGACTTTGGGAAGGGCAGTGGTGTTTATAAAGGGGAAAAAAAGTAATCCGGAGGGTCTAGTTGAGTGGAAGAGACTCATTTATCCTTAACCAAAGGTCAAGGGTATGATCCTTAACTTTGGGTATGAAACAGCCACTACTGGAAATTATGAAATTTCCGACCACCCTGAAAGTGATCTTAAATCTGATACCAAAAAGTGGTCGGAAATAGCAATAAAGGTTTTTCCGGATACCGAAAGTGGTCGGAATAAGGCTTTCGACTTGATTTAAGATCACTTTCAGGTGGTCGGAAATTGCATATTTCCAATAGTGAGCCTTAAATCTTCAGGCTAGATGTCCCAGCTGAAAGATGTGCTCTTACAATCTAGCGAAAGGATTAGTCACTGTGTCGGATAGTGAAAACTTTGGGTATACCCAAAAAAAAAAAAAAAAAAAAAAAAAAAAAAAAAAAAAAAAAAAGGGAAAAAATGTGAGGTTGGAGATGAGAGATTGATTGAGTGAAAGAGAGTGAGAAGCAAGATTGTGCTGTACCAGTTGGAATTTTTGTAAGTTTCTGCCATCAAATTAAAGTTGTATATATGTTCTTGGATATATATGTACTGGGTTGGCTAGGTTGTGGTAAATTGTATGGCCAGTATGAGTATATGGTACAATCATCGCTACAGTTTTGGCCTTTTTGATTCTCCTTCAACACTGCATTATTGATGAGATCGAACTTGGTTTTATGTAGTATATATATATTGCTTTTTACAAATTAGTTTTAGTTTTAGAAATAAAAGTTTATTAATAAGATGTGGAAGAGAACATGGGAAGACCCAACATGATATGTTCAACTCGTGACTATTTTTTATCCATATTCCCTTGACATTGCCCTTTCCAATTTATTTCTTATTTCTTTAATAAAATATGTGTGCCAACATATTGTTTTCTTCTTTTACTTTTTACTTCTTTCTAGCTTTTCTTCTTTCTTATTGTAATTTAGAATTGTTGGTTTTAAATCAAAGAATACATTAAGAATAACAACCTAAACATTCTTATCAACGCCTTTTTAGTCAAAATGCAATTTACTTCTCTTATATGATTTGTATGCTATTATAGAATTCATTCATACTCTCGAGTAGCTAGTAACTACGAGTTTCCATTGTCACAAAAAAAAAAAAAAAAAAAAAAAAAACATTGGTTGTTTGGCGCGTGATTAACAATGATGATTCTACATAATAATCTACGATTAAAGTCTCTAGAGTGCACTCATTTAAGCCAATTGGCGCAGTGTACATCTACAAAACACTTTGTGGTATCCTAGTAAACTAACTCCATAAGTACAAGGGATTAGTTGAGGCATAATATTTAAATTTATTAACTTGAGGTCAAGAATAATATAATTATGTAACTTTTGAACTTCTTTAGGCCGTGACTATTTTGTAATTTTAGAGTTCATTTAGAAAGTTGTTACCATTAGTGTAGCATCATTGATATACAATGCATATAGTGTTATTGTCAATGTTGCTCCTAAATGTTGTTTTTTTTTTTTTTTCTTTATCAAAGTTAAGTAGAGTTAATACCCAAAATCGTCCTCGACTATAGTGGTTTTTCTCAATTTCGTCCTAAACGACTTTGGTGACCTAATATCGTCCCAGACTTTTGTGTTTCGCTCAATTTAGTCCCAGACTTTTGTGTTTTTGCTCAATTTAGTCCTTCATTTGTTATTCTGTCCATTTGGTGTTAAATAAATAGACAATTCAGTAATTTTAATATTGGCATCTCTTTACTCATAGACATGTGAACTGCGAAATCCTTTTTTTTTTTTACGAATTACTCCCAGAATTACTCCTAAAACTGCGAATATAAAATTTGATTTGCAGGTCCGGGAGTAATTCTGGGTGTAATTCGTACAAGAAAGATGAATTTCGCACTTCACAAGTTGAAAGTAAAGAGAGATCAATATTGACATACTGAATTGTCCCTTTATTTAACACCAATTTGACGGAATAACAAATGGAGGACTAAATTGAGCGAAACACAAAAGTCTGGGACAATATTAGGTCACCAAAGTCGTTTAGGACGAAATTGAGAAAAACCACTATAGTCGAGGACGATTTTGGGTATTAACTCAAGTTAAGTATTAATGAGTTTATACTTGGGAAGCATTTTAAGGTGTCGGACCACAGAGAATAGAGTGTTAAAGACTAAGTTCTTGATGAATGTGAATCATTAGATTTATCTAATTTAATGGTATGCAATTGACCGCATGGGACAGACAAGCCACATGTGATGATGTATTTTTTTTTTGTGGTGCATTTTTTGACATTTCATTCTGGTGTATTCTCGAACACTGTATGATGCATTTATCCTTACCTAATGGTGTATGTCACAATGACCGCACGGGAAGACTCGTTCTCACAGGAACCAAAATCTATCTATACCTAATGGTGTAATCCACAATGACCGCTCGGGAAGACCCGTTCTCACAGGAACCAAAATATATATATATATATATATATATATATATATATATATATATATATATATATATATATATATATATATATATATATAGGGAAGGGATCAGGTGCATTTGTTGCTTCCCGTGCGGTTGTGCGGTGGATTAATGTGCTTGAGGTTTATACTTAATGTGCGTGAGTGTTGTGCTTAATGTGCGTGATGTTAATATGCGTGAGTTTTGTACTTAATGTGTCTGAGTGTTGTGCTTAATATGCGTGAGATTTGTGCTTAATGTGCGTGAGTAGTTTAGAATTACGAACTCAGAAAGAAGTAGAACAGAAAATCACCATATAACTATGCTACTGAAAAGAGAAGCACCCATATAGTCATGATAAAATGTTTGCACCAGCACCCTTTTCGCACCTTCATTCCTAAGAATCTGAGCTATGCTACTGAAAAGAGAAGCACCCATATAGTCATGATAAAATGTTTGCACGAGCACCCTTTTCGCACCTTCATTCTTAAGAATCTGAGCAAAAGCATCAAGAGAGCTCTTGTACTTGACGGCTTCACCAGATGTCATCATCATTCTTCTCCGGACATTGTGTCAATTGGGTAAGAAGCAATACCAGCACCATTTGTGATAACCCATCCGAGAACAAAGCTAGCGAAGAAACTATCCTGTAGGTCTCCACTTTTCTGCTGCATTTTACACATTCACGGACATTAAGTACAAATCTCAGACACATTAGATACAACACTCACGCACATTGAGTACAAATGTCACGCACATTAATAACCGCACGGGAAGCATTCACCCGCACGGGAACCTGAGTATATATATATATATATATATATATATATATATATATATATATATATATATATATATGCACATAGTGCGTGTGAAAACATTCTTGCAGAAACCAAAACTCATTTTGACGTACGTCATACATACAGCATGCAAAGCCAAAAAGTCATTTTACTTTCTAGTATCTTATAGCATGTGAAGCCAAAACCGTAAAATCATTTTACTTTTCGGTATTCTTATTGTATGTGAAGCCGAAGAGTGAAACAACTCTGCTGCGATTCCAATTTTTCGGTTCTTAGGTTTGGTTCTAACTTTGAGATTTTAACTTTGCACTTCTTAATTTGTGGTTTTAATTTTTCAGACAGTTAAATCTAGAGATTCTTCTCTCTTTTCAAAATCTTCTATAAAGTCAATTCTGAAGATTTTTCTCTTTTCAAATTCCCAAATAAAATTAAAGAGAAAATTACACTTTTGGTTCTATAACTATAGGGGTGGTAGTTTCAATTCGTGACTTTTAAAACTATCAATTTAGTCCTTTAACTATGCTTTCCACACATTTGGTCCGGCGGCCGGAAAAACACAATCATTTGTTTATTAAATATTTAGGGGGGTAAAATGGTCAATTATGTTTGAGAAAAAAAAGGGGAAAAATGCTGGCTATTATTTCCCACCTTATTTAACGTCTTCTGAATTCTGCTAACAGTAGGGTTTTCGATTTCTGGGGGAGGCGAAGGAAGCACGAAAGAAGTTGGAAGAGAAGAAAGCAGTCGCACGCACCATTCTCCATCAGCTCGTTCTGGGTATGGCTAATTCATATTCTTCTTGTTCTTCTAATTCTGCTACTGAGTACTATGAATTTGGGGAAAGCTTTCCAATTATCCATTGTAGATGTGGTGAACAATTGAAAATTCGAACTTCATGGACAAATGAAAATCCCGGTCGTAGATTTTGCCAATGCTCCGGTGCTATTGTAAGTTTTTCTTTTTAAAGATTTTTGTAATTTTTTTGCGGGATGTATGAATGAAATTGGTTAAATGTTCTTTGAATTAATCCAGGGTAATGTGGGATGTGGATTTATTGATTGGTATGATCCTCCAGTGTGCTATCGTTCAAAGAGAATAATTTCGGGATTGCTAAAACGCATCAACCGACAAGATGATGAGATACATAAATTAACTATGAAGCTTAAAGGTAATAAAGATGATGGCAAAGTGTTTGGTAGTTGTATGTGGATGAACAAGGTTGTAGCAGTGTTCATTGTAATATTTGCACTATTTATTGGTTGTAGGTTTTGGTAGTGAACTGATCCAAAGAACCGGTCTGTATGTGTAATGTATTTTGGTAATGTAAGAATTATGGTATGGTTTGGTAATGTAAGAATTATGGTATGTTTTGGTAATGTAAGAATTATGGTATGGTTTGCTAATGTAAGAATTATGGTATGTTTTGGTAATGTAAGAATTATGGTATGGTTTGGTAATGTAAGAATTATGGTATGTTTTGGTAATGTAAGAATTATGGTATGTTTTGGTAATGTAAGAATTATGGTTTCTTTTGGTAATGTACGAATGAAGGTAGATTTTGGTTTACAATTCACCAATGATATACTGCTTTAGCAAGACTGCACAAGCCCATGATTTTATTGCAAAATAGCTGATTTCAAAAGTGCCGATTTCATTAGCCAAGACTTGTTTACACTTCACAAAAGAGTTACTACTTTACAATTCACAAAAAAAGTGAGTGTTGGTAATGTATAACA